CCACCAGTAATGTGAAACAGAGGAAGTAAGTTAGTAGTATATCCGGTTAAAACCACTAATACACCTCCCTTGACAATGAGCTATAGAGGAACTTTTCTATTTGCCTAGCAATTCAAACAGAAACGTACCCTTGCCTCTTGTTCCAGCATGTTGACAAGTCCCCCCAACCTCACCGCTACTGACCCACATCTACTTCCTGCTCCCTCTGAGCACCACTCAGGTCACCTACACCAAGGTCTTGAGGAGTCTCATGGTACCGCAACTCACCTGCCACGACTTCGATGTTTTCAACGATCTCTGCGCCGCCTGACGATGCCGACGTGGCAGCCCGCTTGTCCACAGGTGGCGTTTGGTCTCCGCCTGGTCCTTCTCGCCTCCGGGCCGGGGCCGGTGAGCCTACATGCCCGCCGATCCATGTAGGCTCACCGGGCTCGGCGGCTCCGTCGGGCACCACCTGGCTGCCGCAGTCGCTGTCGCCGTTGTCGATGCAAGTTGAAAGTGAAGGGGACAACTCAGTTTTTCCTGTCGCGCAGCCTGATTTGGACTTTCACCCAATCAGAGATGACACGACGGGAAATTCGGAGTTTAACCAACCAATCGGAAGTTTTGACGGTAGTCCTTCTCGCCCAATCGGTGCTCAAAGCGCATCGACCCCAAATGGAATTTCCCCATTGGTCGATGGGACTGACGAAGGGGCGACACCGCCGGCACTTGCTCGACCTGCTGAATCGGTCGGTGCGGTACGCCGCCCTCTCGACTACAACACGGTCATACGAGGCTTTAACGCTGCAACCAAGCAGCAAATTAAGGCCGCCTTTGTTCTGCCGTCTGCCGGTGCCATCGAAGCGATCCTGTTGGAGCTCGCCAAGCCCAAAAAGGATCGCGCCGATGTGCTCGGCCAAATAGATCTTTCTCGGCCATACTCGCCTAAAGTGGCTATGGCTCGCTTCATCGTAGACACGGGCGATGCACTAGCTGCGCAGTCGCACGAAGCGATCATGTCGTCGCTGTTTACAAGCACGCAAACCGATGCCGTTAAGGCGCTCCTGCCTGAATTCGTCCAAGTCACACGGCTTGGACGTGGTGGTATTTTGTTTTCCGTAACGTCGTCGAGTGTGCGAAAGGCGCTTGGAGGACAATACCTGTCCATCCTCGGAAAACGATACCGCATCCCAGTACAGGAGGACCATCCCCTGGACTCTCTTTGCTACATGGATGTCACCGGAATTCGCGACAACTTTGACGCCACGCAATTCTACCGCAAGTTGACCCTGCTTGGCGTCGACGTGGCATATCAAAGCCATCGTGCGGTCATCCCTAGAACTGGCTGTCATACAAATGCGTGGCGGGTGTATTTCGCCGAGGTGTCGTGTGCGGCGTATATAACGTCTACTTAGCATACACACTTGAGGGTGACTGATGCATAACATGTGTCTGCCTCACCTTCGGGCCAAGCACGGAACGAGCAAGCGGTGCCTCGTGTACCATCCCCAGGACGGCTGACGTCGGGCTGGCCACCCGCGGCAGTGGCGTCCGGATAGATTCCGGACGCGTCCCCC